ACTTCGTGACGATTGGCAAATTTAAACTTTGTTGAATTTTGTCAAGCAGTGCATATTTCTTCACTGAATTATAAGAAACTTAATTTTGGAAAGAAAGCATCATCTTTATTTCGTTCTTGATCAATTTTTTGTGCATTTCTTTTCTGTTTGAAGAATTACAAATCCGCGAGGTGTCCGATTTTAAAAACTATGTATGGACTTGAAGTCGCGTTTTATATACTGTAGTGAAATAAGCTTAAGTGGATTTTCATCGTGATAAAATAGTGTTTCAACGTGTTTAGATTTATTATTTCGAGAAAATTCCCGAAAGCCCCTTTTTTCCTTCTTTTCCAAATGACTTTTTCAAAGACCTGGAAAACGAGATATGATGGGGCCACGTGTTGGCGGGTCGGTCCAGGGACTTTTTTCCTTCTCCTGTTCCCACGGATTCTTCCTGTCGCATTCTTCTCGTGGCTTTGATAGCTTTATCCTCTGCCATTCCGCAGTTTTTGCCCCCCCCCTTTTTTTCGCGCGTGTGGCTGTGTGCAAATAAATTTGCGCATTCGTGGGATTCGGTTGAGCGTGAAGACGCGGAGCGCGTGGGGAGTCAGGTACGCGGGTGGCGGGCATTTGGCACACATGGCTATTTTCTTCTCTTTCAGAGCTGTCAGTCAGATGATTACAACAAACAACAAGAAAAATATGTATACTCATGAAAGAAATTAAAGTATTTGAACGTTTTAAAAGGTAAACTCAATATTTTATTTTCTGAGGAATTTTTTGACGAATGAGGAGCAGAATAAGTCAACTCTATTTGAATAAATTTGTGGCTCATCCATATATAGTGAGACCCTGAGATGCGGACATAATTGGTGCTTCAAAACAGTGTCACTATGTCGGAATGTCCGCATATTGGACCTTGTTTGTCCATAGACTTCAATGGGAACTCATTTAATTGTTTCTCCTGTGCATAGAAAAATAGGAAAATATCCCCAAAAATAAAATAAAATGTGTCTCAACTTCAAGATACAGAACATAATTATTCATAATACAGAAACCCACACAGAAAATAATCCTCTGGAATGAAAAGGACTCAAAAATACAAACAAAGAGTAATGTATAAGTCTTGCTATCTATCCTCTGCATAGATGATTGAGAATGCTACAAAAATTAGCACAAAATAAAACTGTTTTTGAGTATAAATTCAATTAAATATATTATTACTGTATATTCAGTTTTAACTTCTGTGAATTTAAATATATGAATTTGTTCAAGAGATATTCAAATTTTGAAAAAAAAAAATAAAAATTTTCTATAATGAAATCTGAAAAAGTGTCCGTATGTACAGATATTGTCTGGATTTCGGGCCCAATTTTTTGAAATATAAAGTAAACTTTGACATTATACTTGGATGGTAATATTTTATTAGCTAATTTTTTTCGACCATTGCTTCTCAATAAGATGCCACGAACTTCTTTGAGCAATTTTTCTCGTCGCTTCAAAGTTTTTTGTCTTATTCTCTATAATTTATAATCATAATCCTATCAATTCTACTGGCGTGAAACCTCATGTTGAAAATTAGTTTCTGTGGTGGTTTGGAAAAACGTTTTACTTGAATTCGTTTCGTTTTATGACAAGGAAAAATTTCCCATTTGTTCCTGTTTTCGATTTGTCTATAAAATTCTTTTTGATCGACATTAAATTATGTTGAAGAACGTGTGTTCGTTTCGACGGCGAATTCCAGATGGAAAAGCTGATTATCTGGAAATTTCCTCTGAAGTGACTCGAGGGGGGTTTTTTTCTGCCCCCAACTGTCAAAAATATCCCTTGGTAACAATGGAGTAGTCCCTCAGAAAATTTAGTTTTTCTATGGACCATTTGTCCTTCAAAAACCCAACAACTGGATCAACTCTCCCCGCGCTCATCTGGCTGAATGAATGATTTATTGCCCCTACTGTTGCTTCTTTATGGGGTGGGAAGGAAGGCTGCCAGTCTGGGGGCTAGATTAAAATGCAGGAAAATGTTGAATGGTATTATAATATGAGTTTGCTATGGATCTAGAGCTTTCCAGTGTTCCCAACCTTTTTGGGCCCATGGACTGGCAAATTTCCATAATATTTTCTGCTGACTCACAAAGTTTCATAAAATTTTTGCAGACTTCACAAAAGGCATTTAAAAAGTTTCTGCTGTTTTGCAAAAATTGAGTTAAGAACCAATGAAGCAGCTATAGTCCTTAAAATATTAGAATGATGGTTTTGAAGGAAGGTTTCTCAGAATGAAGGATTAAAATCATTTATTTTGACTGATGAAAATTTGTCTGAAGTGTTTTGAGGAAAAGAGCCAACATTTATTTTTCAATGGATAATTTCAATTGCCATCATCTTTCCAAAACTTCAAATAAAGACAATATACTTCATTGCTTATTTTGATAAATTCTGTATAAAATTTCCCACAGACTGGCAAAAGATAATAATAAATAATGGAGATTCAATCCCTTGTTAGAAAGGGGGACTTTGCCAAATCCTTTTTAGCCTAACTTAAGAGACTTGGTTCAAAAATTATTTACTGTTTTTTTCTGCTGTGGAGCAACCAACATTGAAAAGACATTTTACTTCAATTTGGGAATGTGATCAAACCATTTGACAACCCACAAGAAAAGAATTCCGAGGTAAATTTGAGATGATTACTTTTTTCGCGATAGCCTTACACCAGACCACCTAAGGGGAGCGGAAGGAGCATATGAACCAGGAAAGAATCAATTTATGTTGCAACAATTGTTGGGGCATTGCAGGAAAAAGCCTGGTCTATTCTGGGCTCTTTTTTCCCCCATCATATTGATGGTTTGATCAGCTTCTGCTCCAGAACTTGAGAGGGGGGAGAAGTGTAATTGGGGTGTGGTTCCGGTGCCAAGGCCGCCATCTGGCGGATGGCTAATGATGACTTAATTGACTGAAATTGGAGGGTGAAACACAGGAAGCCCCTTTGTCCTGTCTATTATTTTTTCCATCGGAAGGAATTCATCTAGTCCATTTGTCAACACTTCCTGCATTTTGCTTTCTCCAATCTTTCCATTCAATTCAGTTTTTACCTTGGAAAATTCCTGGTTCCATCTGGATCAAAAATATTCCGAGCAGTAGAAATTTTCTTGATTTTTCACATATTTTAGACCACACCTACTCGGAACTTCTGGAATAATTATTTTTTGAGTGAGGATTGTAAAGCTTTTTTCGGAATTCAGTTTTTTTTGCAGCTCATCATGTTAAATTATTCTCAGGCCTGGAATATTATTTGTTTTTAATCGTGAGGAGAATATGATCGAAGAGATTGAAGATGCTGAGCACGAAATACAATTATTTGCTGATTATTCTTCGAGACGTGGATTCTTTGCTATTCAGTTTGTTTTTCTTGCTGTAATTTGAGTGAGATGATTTGATCGGCTTCATTGAGATCCCTTCTCTTGATAAAGCCCAGCAAAATATAAATACCAAGAAATAACTACCATTCGTCATTTATGAACGGAATTTTTCATTTCATCTCGGAATCTTGATAGTCTTTGAAAAAATAAATTCGAAATGCCGCTGGGAATGTGCTTTCCGTATTAACGAACCAGTAAAATGAACCCCCTTTTTAATGCAAGGGGGTGGGTTTCGTTTACCCAGCAGCTCATTTTTTCCATCGCCTGGTGTCTGTTGAAAAACCGGGTCATTTCCCCAAGTGTTGACACAGTACTTGGAGATCCATAGGGTGTAGAAGTGAACAGGCTTCCGGAGCAATCAGTGCTGCTATTGTGCCAGGGATTAGGACCCGGGTTTGAGTGGGTGTCAGCTGTGGGGCCGGTTTTCCGCGACAGCTGCCTAATCCTGTTTATGGGGCCCTATTTGAGCGAAAGGCCCTGAATCAATCGCGAGATTTTCTCCCTGCTGGAAACTGCTGATTTTCTGTGAGCCTCATCAGCAACAATTTCTCGCAATTTGCATCTCTTATGGAGGCGTCCTATTGAAGGAATGAACCCCCGTATGTAAACTCACCCTTTCTTTATTTTTAAATGTAGAGTAAATATAAATATATTTTCTATATGTAGTGAGAGGTCCTGGGCTTCATTGAATTTCTCGTCTGTTGGGGGAGAGAGATAATTTCATTTGTGCCAACTGCTGGCTCCAGCAATCCAGTGTCTGCATATTTTGCAAAAATTTTATCTTTGAATTCATTTTTGCATTGAAAAAAAAAGAAGCAAGTTGAGTTGCTGATTTTCTGAGAAACTGGCAAAATATTTTCGGATGCTTGTATACTCAACTGATCTGGTATTTTTATCTGATTGAGGAACAGTTTTGCATCACAAGTCCTGAAAGAAAAATATAGATTATTTCAGTTCATGACTAAATTTTTTGCTGTGAAATTGTATTCTCCCCTGATATGTGACCAAATTTTGGTTTGATTTGTATTAAGAGTTGTTTTCTGATGCAGAAAAGTTTTTTTGTTTTATGGCCAGGGGTTAGGTTCTTTTCTTTTTATCAAATTAACTTATGTTTTCTGCACCGTGATGCAAAATGTTTGTGGTCTCATTTCCTCGCGGATTTTAATATGAAAGAGAATTTTCGATTAGTTCTTAGTCCATTGCAAACACAATATTTTTTCAGCTTGAATTTTATTTGACAGGACTAAAGATTTTTGAATAAAATCGGAATTGACATGATTGAATTTTCTTCTTTTGTGCAAAATATTATTACTCAACTGCCCATATTAAAAAATTTTTCGATAGACGGGGAATTTCTGAGTGAAATGCATAGAAAAAAAGTTCAAAATTGATTTGAAAGGCTAACTTTTCTTCCAAATCATTGTGCTTTTTTTTCGCCAGGAGTTTTTCCATCTCAATTTTTCGCCTCTGAAAAGCCTGCTCTCGAAAATTCTCATTGCATCAACGTGTTCTTTTGTGTCCCAAGAAAAATTTTCACGGAAAAATATTCTTCTCGGTTTAATAAAGCTATTTCCGGAATTATTGTTACTGCTCTTGAGTCTCAAAGACCCGCATGAGAACGTTGCTAATGACAAAAGAAACCCAGCAGAGTTTTTCAACAGCAGCAAAAAAAAACAACCTGGGTTTCTGGGCACGCAACTTCGTGACTGGGTTTTTATTGCGATGCGCAGTCGGGGATTTGGCTCATAGGCAAAGTGAGTTCAAGAGATATAAAAAAAATATATTTAGAATGAGGAAAATAAAGAAATGAAGCGAGAAACGCATGAATTGAGTCCCTTTTTCGGCTGTGCATTCATTGAGATGTGATTTTTTTTTTTTAGAAAAGCGTGCGGGTTATTGGGAATCGGATTTATGGCCGGAATCCCCGCAGGCAGTCGATTTCTGGCTTGAATGGGGGTGGAAATATTTTGGCCCTGGTGGCTTTTGTGAGCCATGTGATTGATTTCCTTCGACGTCGTGATTTTATTCCTCTCTTTTTTTTTCTTCTTTTGCTTTTCTCACTCGGGAGGGATAAAATAGGGTGGAAATGAAGTGATGGAATAGAATTGGGTTCCTTTTGAAGGAAGTGAGACCTTTTTTCCTGCAACGGTTTTCTTGGATTTCTTTTTGCAACGGATTAACTCATCTGGGATTCTGATGAATACCCAGTTGGACCTCTGGCAAGTCAAAAATTTGCAGAGTCGCGAAGTGAATTGAAAGAGTTTTTTTTTAGTTGAGAACATTTCTCCTAATTTTTGGAAGGTTGAGCAATTTATTTTATTTATGGCGAAATTATTGGAACTGTCCATTACTCATATAGAAAGATTCTTGATTTCTTTGTATAGAGAGCATAAAGGAAATTATTTTCATCTGTCTCTAGGTTTCCTGGAACACGTATTCTAAAATTTGCTCTTAATTTCTCAGAAAAAAATGGCCTTAAACATTTCATTAAAGGAGGCATATGTCTCTGAGTTTTATATTTTGTGAGATTCAAATTCCCTTGAGCTTGACAGAATTGGCTAGGGATAAATTGGGAATGCAAATTAAGGAGATTTTTGACCTGGACATTTTTTTCTTGGCTGTCTTCGTTTCCAAGGGAAATTCTAAATTTAAAAAAAAATGTGAATTGTTCACAGTAATTTTATTGCTGATTCTTGAAATCAAAAAACATTTGAAGTATTATAGGGATATTCAGTATCTTCCTTATATTCAAATTCTTGAAACATTTGACCATAAGGGAGGTATAAATCAGAATTTTCATATTTTGTGAGGTTTGAAAGGCTTTGGGCTTGAGGGAATTGGCTATGAATAAATTATAAATTGAGAATTAAAATTAAGGACATTTTTGACTTGAATACATTTTTCTTGGCTTCATTTGGTTCCAAGGAGAATTCTCAGTTCAAGAAATTTAAATTATTTTTTTCATTTTGTTGCAGATTCTTGAAATCATGTCAAGTGGGGCCAGAGGGAGCCACTGTGAGTTACCCATTGCTGACTCAAGAAGTTGTCAGAATGGCCATACAAGTGGCCCAAGCATGTGCATACTTGACAGACAATGACATAGTGCACAGGGACTTGGCAACCAGGAGTTGCATGTGAGTGTCTGAAAAATGAAATAAAATAAATAAATAATGGAGTCTGAAAAAAATGAAATAAAATCCAATTCATCCATATATTGACAAGGATCAATTTTCTTTTCATCCTGAATGATGATTATTTGTCTTTTCAGGGTGGATGACAAGATGAAGGTGAAGTTGGCAGACAATGCTTTGTCCAGAGACTTGTTTCCTGATGACTACCAGTGTCTAGGAGATATGGACAATAGGCCTTTGCGCTGGATGCCGCCCGAGGCTATTGTTGACAAGCGATTTTCTGAAGCTTCTGATGTGGTCAGTTTTTTTTTATATCTTTATTTACAATTTTTCTTTCTTTATTTACAATTTGTTTTCTTGCTTTATCTACAATATTTTTTCTTTCTTTATTTAATATTTTTCGTTCTTTATTTACATTTTTTCTTTTTTTTGAATTGCTCAAGATAATTTTTCTTTGTTTTTTGGTCTAGTGGGCATTTGGTGTCCTTCTGTGGGAACTGACAACACTGGCTCAGCAACCATATGAAGAAGTAGATCCCTTTGAGATGGTCAACTTTTTGTATGATGGATACCGGTTATACCAGCCTATTCATTGTCCTGATGAACTGTGAGTATTTTATTTGCATTTTTTACATTTTGAATGCATGAAATGTGACAGTCATTCTTAAGCAGATTGGAAAGAATGTTTCAGAGATTAACTGAAAAAAAAAAGAATTTAATCCACGTATCATATAATTTCCATTTTTGCAGACAGTTTTTTACTACAAGAAAACTTTTAGTATCATATATTCGCAGAAAATTGTGTTCTAAAAAAATTCGGCAGTCAGAATTCAGAAAAACTTATTGCCGTTTCTTTTACGCCGAATTTCTGGAAATGAGTAGACGTTTTTCAAATATAATCTTGTCCTTATTTTCAATTTTTATTTACATCATATTGTTTTGAACGAAAGAAATTTGACAGTCATTCTTCAGGCTGGAAAGATTTTTAGAGAGTGCAGTAATTGGAAAATAACTTTTCTGTTCAAGATTACAATTTTCGATTTTTTTGCGAACAGTATTTTACTATTCACGAGTACTTTTTTTATCATATACGCGGATAAACTTTTGTTGCTTCAAAGAAAATCTGGTGATCGATCGTAATTCAGAGCAACTTTTCGTTTTAATTTCTGGAAATGCGTCGAAGTACTTTAAATATATTTTTGTGGTCATACTTTTATATTAAGATGGCCATTATTCGTCAAAATATAAATTTAATGTCGGAATTACTTCAATTAAACCCTTATTTCAGCTCAATTTTGACGCTTCGAAAATTTGTCGATATTCTGAGACATGGATTTTTAAAATTTTGTATTTACCCTATCAAAATTTGGTTTACAACGTACAAGTTTCTTTTTTGTAGTCGAAAAACACCGTAATACTGTACTAAGGAATACATTATATCGTTCAATAACATTTAATTAAACTTCTCATTTGAGACAAAATTGAAATGTTCAGCATTCGCAGCTTTTGTTACACATTTATTCCTTGAGATATGTTTTTGAAAAAGTGACCCTCACGTGTGTTTTTTGTGTTTATTTTTTTTTTTTACGAATTCAGTTTCCATGTCATGGCGACTTGCTGGGACACTGACCCTGGAAACCGACCCAGTTTCAGGCACATCATCAGTTGCCTTCGGGACTTCAGAGAGTCCTTGGACAAGTATATCTGAAGAAACCAGGCAAACTTCCGAATGTACTTCAGCACCTTGAATGTGTTCCTTCAAGACCCCTCCAGTCGAAAATTGGATTGAATGTGGTGCAAACTTTTTTTTTTTTTTAGAGAATCGACCCTGGTGTGCTTGAATGTTTCAAAAACCTTGGATGATGCAGTCGAATGGAATGAGGGAGACTTTTTTCCGCATTTCTTTCATTCTTTTTGCCAATAATCTGTGTTGACTGTTGACATTTTGTCCTACGTGTTCATGTTTAATTGTTAACCCTTTTTCCTGTTTTTCCTTTATTGTGGGTGATTGTTGGAAGGAGAGAGGAAAATAAAGCAGTGATTTTCAATTTCAGGACTTGTTCTTGGACCTTCTTTAATGTTTCATGTGCCCATTTTTAGCTTTCCTACTTTATTTGAGCTAAAATTATTGGTCATGCTTCAAAATTAAAACATTCTTGATGACAAATAACCCACATATTTAGCAAAATTTTTAAATTGAAAAAAATGATCAGGTCTTGCATCTCAAACTACAAACAAAAATTGGTACTTTCCTGTTATCTCAGTACCTCATTCCTAGACCGCACTACCATCCAGACAAATCTTTAGGACAATTTCATAATCATGACAACCTACCAAAAACTGTGAATTTTATTTTTCCGCATTCTGCTGAAACATTTTGGGAGGTGGTTAGGTAAAGTTAGGTTAGGTCTGGTTATGTTAGTTTAGAGATAACAGGAAAGTAGGTACTGAGATAACAGGAAATTAGGTACTGAGATAACAGGAAAGTAGGTACTGAGATAACAGGGAAGTAGGTACAGAGATAACAGGAAAGTAGGTACTGAGATAACAGGAAAGTACCCAAAAATCGTGTTATTTTGCCCATGTTTTCATGCATGTTGAAATTCTTTATATCTAATACTACAAGTGCCAAATAATGAATATTTTAAACAAATATTCATTGGTGATACAGTAGAATCTTGTTACAACATTTTTTATCATGAATAATTACTTTCAAGAAAGTCATTTTTAGTCCCTGTCCAAAATTGTATCCAAAATTTTAAAACAGAACCGTTATAACGTATTTAAAAAAAAAAGCTATTTTCTGGTCACAATGACTTTGTTGTAATAAGATTTTGCTGTAAACTAGTTTGCAGTAGTGATACAACTGCATATCACTCAATTCACAGCAGGACCCAGTCTCCAACAAAACTCATCCAGGAAAAGGTTATTTTTCTGCAACATGCACCCACTGTATTTTTTAATTCCTTCCACACATAGAGGGAAAAGCCATGAAATCCCAGGCCACAAGCAAGCATAAGAGCATACAAATTTTATGCAGTGGTACAAGTTACATGAAATAGTCAAGTTTAGAAGAAATCATGTAGACTGAAGAAGTAGTTAAAGAGTAAATCATCATAAAGCCAACGGCTTCAAGTTCCATATTTTTATTTTCAGAGAAAAGTTCACAACTTTCATCCATTTAGCGCAGTTGAATTACTAAACAGATGAGCTTCGTCCAGTGAAACGTTCCATTAAGCCAAAAACAGGCGATTTGAAAAGAAATCATGTAGATTGATGAAGTGTTCATTAGGCAGTATATCATCAAGGTTTCATTGAGCCTAAAACAAAAAGCAAATTGAAAATAAACCATGTAGATTGAAGACATGGTCATTAGACAGAATATCATCAAGAAGCCAACTGCAGGTTCCTGTTTTTCTTTCCTGGAAAACTTCACAACATTCATCCATTTAGTGCAGTTGAATTGCCAAGTAGATGAGCTTCTTGCAGTGAAAGGTTTCATTAAGCCAAAAGCAAGCTCATTAAATGAGCTCATATACCTGCACCAACTGTAAAGTATTGATTGAATCCTCCCCCCACACACACATACACATACACATACACCCTAGACTCCTGCTTCTGATGAGTTGAAGCAGCTCCCTGATGGATTAATGTTAGAGAGATGTGCTTCCAATTAAGATTCCCCCCAGGGCTGCACTTTGCCTGCATTAACCCTGTGCTATCTGGCATAGGCGTGAACTTTTCCATGCTCCCCACTTCTGAGGGATGTTTTAGCTTAAACTTCCAGGCCTTGTATTTTTTTTTTGGTCTCAAGTGTTTTTTCAATTATGTTGAGAAATCGATTTGCCCTGTGGAATGTGTGGATATTGGGAAAAGGAAATGGAGGGGTTTTATTTTTTATTTTTTTTATCCCAGCCACAGGAAAGGAATTTGCATGTGAACCACTTTTTGGCCCAAGGCACTGGAGGAGGTAATTTTACATTGCTGGGGGAATTTCGCCTGGAGCAATGCGGAAACACGGATTTGATGTTGCCAACTTTCAGAAAGTTTGAGCACTTGTTTTCCTAGCGTGAAGAAAATGAAATTTGCTGTGGAAATTGTGCTTGGAAGTTTCCAAGAATTTCCAAGATTGGTTCAATTTAGAGCTATTTCCCCTTTCCTTGGATTGAACTTTAAATTATCTGGTGAGCATATTCTAGTATATAGCCTAAAACCTAGTTTATAGATTCTCATGAAAGGAAATGGAGAAACAATTTTTCCAAACTGAAAAATTCATTCTATGAATTGAAGAAGTTTGTCCCAAAATTTGAATCACATTGACCAAATATAGTGAATTTAAATTGATTAGGTTTGTATTTCTTTGCACCACGTCTTTTTTAGAATAAAATCCATATGTGATAAGGATGTAATTTCTTCAATGGTAAAAAGGATTAATTTGCTATAAAATTTGGCTTGGAAATTTCCAAGAATTTCTAAGATTAATTTGAAGTTTTTTTCTTGTTTTTAGATGTAACTTGACATGATCACAGCAGCATAAACTAATTTAGCCAAAATAAAAAACTTTTATGAAAGGAAATACTGTGTGCAGAAAAATACTATACAGGTGATGCCCTGCAATTTGACACTAATAATCCATTGCTGCGTAAGGGTCAAATTGCAAGACAACGTCAAATTCAATGTTTTCTACATCAAATTTAGCATTTTGATTTTCTCTGCAGGTTCAATTGTGGGGCAAAAGGTCAAATTGATAGCCAACATCCCAGCAAATTTGATCATAAAATTGTGGAACAGTCAAATTGCAGGATGTCAAATCAAAAGGTACAATGTTTATCTGCAAACTGAAAGTTCAATTTTAAAAATTTAAGAAAGGTGTCCCAAGAATAAATTAACCCAAATAAAATTTTAAATTTCACTAAAGTTAGGTTCCTATTTCTGCGCACAATTTTTAGCAAATATTTCGTGATCTATAAGTATACATAATAGCTTAGGTTAAATTATAAACTCATAGGTTATGAAAAAAATTGCAAACAGAAAATTTCACTTTACACCCATAAAAAGTGTGTCCCGAAAATTAATTCACACTGCTATAGTCATAAATTCTGCTAAATTTGGTTTCTTTTTCTTTGAACCATTTTTTTCTTCGATAAATTTTCCTCGGATGACTAAATATTATGCTAGTGCAAGAGCTTCGTGGGGATTGGGAAGCCTGGACGGTTTATCCCTGGAAATTGGTAACACTGGGCTTCTGAGATGATTGAAATGCAAAAAAAATTATTGAACTATCTTGTACCCAGCAAGTGAGGTCCTCACCCTCATGGCTTTGCCAATTTTTACCCCTGGCAGGAGTGCATATTCATGTCGTCCTGAGGAGGCAGCTCATTGCAGTTGCAGAGCAGGGGTGGGTATGATCTGGAAAGTTTCAACCTCCTGCCCTGGAAAACCCCCTTGAGAGGAGGGTTCCATCACTTTTCTCTTCTTTTTTTTTCAACCCCTCGCAGATGCTTGAAGCCTAGTCATGCAGAGCTTTTACCATGAGGTGTTCTAGGAATCAATGGGTATATTCCTTGTGAATATAAAGGTCTCGTATAGATGGAGATTCTGTTGTCATGCAGGGCACAACCCTGCATTCATTTTTTCGCTTTCTTCAGCCAATATATTTCCCCAGAGTGCCTTTTTTTAGATCAATTGAGTAATTTGAAGGACAGAAAAGTCTGTTTCTTCAAAATGCGAAATTTTTCTTTGGTATTCTTTCATCTATATTTACCCCCCAAATAAGTTGAACCTCTCCAAGTCATATATCAAGGGAACATTCGAAAAGTTTTAATTAGGGAGGTTTTGATTTAGAGAGGTTCCAGGTTAGGGAGGTTTTGAGTTTAGGAAACAACCATTTTGTTGCTGTGGGAAGTTTAGAAGAATTACAAGAGATTGCAAATGATGATGTTTTGGTCCTTCAATTGCTTCTTGAATGAGTTGATGAGATGGTGGACTTGGAGGCAATAAAGGTTTCATTTGCCAAATCAGTCTTTCACTTCCTTTCAAAGCACATCAAATTGGTTTGTATTGCTTTTCTCTTTCCTGTGTCAAGAAAATAATACCCAAATGGTGTCAAAAAATTCCAGTTATGGAGGTTTTAGAGGAGAAGCCTTTGTGTTAAAGAGGGGTTCAATGCATGGTTTCTAAGGGAACTCAGCTGGGGACTTGAGAAATATTTGGCTAAGGGAGGTTTATGACTCAGGGAGGTTCAACTTAGCAAGGTTCAACTGTACATATATACAGTATATATATATATATATATATATATATATATACGGTATATATATATATATTTATTTATTTATTTATTTATTTATATATTTATATATACAGTGAGACCCCCAGATGCGGATCCCCCTCCCCCCCCCCCCCCCCCCCCAACAGCAGCATGAAACCTTAGCCCAAAGGGTGCCATGCTGTGCAAGGGTTTCAGCATATTTCCTGTTTTGTTTCTCGCTTAGGGAGGTCTGTACTATGTATCTTGGACCCACTATTCCGAGACAGTGTTTCCAATTTAATGAAGTGGGTATTGTTGCACACACACACACACATGCAGGAGGTGTCTTGGAAGACTGTGTGCATCATTCTTGGGGTTCGGGACCAAGAAGGGTTATATTCTGGAGCTGAAGGCTTCTTCTATTTCACTGCTGCTGCTCTCAAATGAAGCCGGGCTGCGAAATTTCCACCGGGGTATTTCTCAAAATTTCTCTCGTCGCATTTCGTTATGAACACACACACTCACACAATCCCGAAGATACGTGCCGAATTTCATTCGTGAATTATTTAAGAACGTGCCAACCGCAATTTGCATCATAAAGAAAAAAAAACAGAACAGCGGAAAATTCCGTCATGAATCACATGCAGACTTCCGAGATGTTGATTCGATTCTTGGAAAAAAATGATTTCTCTTCTAGTGTGTAAACGTCGTCTGAAATCTTTCTTTGTGCAAAAATTCAAGCTAATCCACGTGTCGATTTTTTTTTTGTCGGGCATATATATACGGAGTAATTTTTTTTAGCATTT